ATCACTTTTATTGTACTATATTTTGGATTATCTAAAATTATCTTAAATTCACAAAAGTGAAACAGTTTTTACATTTTGCATTAAAATATTATAATAGATATTTTGCTATATTAAAATTCATTTTTATAATATTAACATTAAATTTTATAATAATTTTACAAAAATTCTTCACACCAATCAGAGAGGCACTGATAACAATCACTAGACTGCTTCGCATTAGCAGAACATGCATCTTTCATCCATTCTTGAAATAATTCTCTATTCTTTTTTAAAACCAAGTACTGACCAAGTACTACATATGCCTAGAATCGTTAATAAATATTAATATATTAAGTGATATATTTAAATAGAAGTATAAATGAATTTTTTAATCTTTTGTCACATTCCTGATATAAGAAATATTATTTATATAATATTATTTAAAATTTAACATCATTTACATTGAATTTTATTAATAATAATAAAATTATTAATAAAATATAAGACAAAGAATATAAAATAATATGTTAATTCATATAAAAATCTATCATACTCTATCAAAACCAGCTGCTTCTAATCTACGTCCTAGAACTTCACCAACTCCAGCAAGATCTGTAACAGGCTTATCACCCATTGGTTCAGCAACAAAGTTTTTGTGCTTTTGTGATGTACTAGACATGTTTTTCCTAGAAATAAAAATAAATGTTTATTTCATAAGATATAATAATAATAATATATATACATAAGTATTTAAATTTTTATCTTGAATAAAAATGAAAATTATACATAGTTAATTTATAATAGAAGAGGGTATTTCATTATTTCATTAATTTTGGATTTAGAAACTTTTATATAATAACTAAATAATATACGTGTTTTCATAAAGTACACACAAACCTTGATTTGTTTTTTTTTTTTAAATAAATTTAAATTATTTATATTAATTGCTTGTGTATATTTCTTTATAAATTGCAAATTTGTAATAATTTAAATATTAGATTTGCAATTAATTATTTATTTTAAACTTCTAATGTAGTTTTCGTTAATAAAATATGTATTTTTACAAAAATTACTTAAACACAACACTATCGAAGCGGTATGTATAATACAAATATATATAACGTGTAGATTGTACACTCATATACACTTTTATGCACATAATGGCTGATTTCTATGTAACTGATTAACTGTACCTTTATTAATATATTTCATAATATTAGAAACAAATAAAATAACACTACAGTTGTTATTAAGTGTAAAAACTTAAAATATATTTTATAATATATTTTTTATACTTAAAAATAAACATATAATTACAAATATGAACAATGCTTAAAATTCTAGTTTAATACAATACAAATCATATTCATTGATATTAAAAGAAAATACAATAAAGTTATTAATATCTTAAAATATAAAAAATTTAGTACAAAAGATGTAAGAAAAAAATACAAATTTTATAAATAAATTTTAGATTTTGCTGTTACAAAAACTTCTAAAATATATTAAAAAATAATATATTATTGTTGTATAAAATTATATAATAATTTCATAAGTTCTATTAAAAATTAAATTTAACAAATTACAATATGCTATCAATTGCGAATTCAATGTAGTATGAAGTGTCGACACCATCGGTGCATTTATAAGCAGAAAGCGTTTCGTTTCTTGTCTATTCGTTTAGGAAATTGGGTTATCGTCGGAAAGATGGAGCGGTCAATATGTGAAATATAAATAGAAATAGAAATATATATTGTTGTTGAAATATCTTATATTTCATTCTAGTTTGTTACAGTGATGTTATAAAATTTTTATTTATGTGAGTACTTGTAAAATTGTTTAAAAAAACTTGAGTTTTTGACATATACTGTGCTCCAATCACGGATGAACCATTATGTTGTGTCAACGTAATCGACGGCAGCACTGACGCCTCTTCAGTAATTAACCAAACAAAATGGACACCAAGATAACGATTAAGCGAACATTCGTGCAGTAGATTTACATGGAATGCCTAGGAGAATGGAATTAACGTGTACGCTACAGTGAGTCTTATTTAATTATTTTTAAATATTGACTTTATGATAGGAACTCGTCAGTTTGTTTGAATTACTTATATGTTCCTTAATTTAGCAATATTGAAACTTAATTTTGACACTTCACTCCAGAACAAAACTTTATAATGTTATATTATATTTATACATGTTTAGTGTACAAAATAAGAATGTAATTTGTTCTTAATATTTAAATAATTTTCATTGATCTCTTATAGTTTTATATTATAGTCTTATATATTATAAATAGCCTGTTGTGAAAAAATATGAAACTATTTTCATTTTGTATCTCACATTTTATAACAAATTGTGATTTAATTGTAAATTATGCAGATATATAGATTAATGTTGGTCTAATTACATTTTGTATAATATTTATTTAATCTTTTTGTGTTGTTTCCCTTGTCAAGATAAAAGTATATTTAATAATATAATCCATTATTATACATTACAACAGAATATATAATTACAAAGTATAGTTGAAATTATATATGAAATCATTCTTGTTGATATATCTATATATATATTTGTTGAATCATATTACATTTCGATATTTTCTTATCATAGTTGCAAATCTTTTAAAAATTAAATTAAAAACAACCATCTTTCCTTAAAATATTAATTTAAAAATGACAAAATTTTATTTTTGTAATTCAGGTTAAGCATTAGGTTATTTTCTATAAACTTACAATAACCATGTTTTAATAATATTATTAATCCGTAAATCATAGTAGAAGTATTAAAGAAATCATTATCAGACAGTAACTTTTTGCATACTTTTTTAATTGTATAATAGATTGTTTAATTTCTTAATTTCATAAGTTTAACTTTTTACTTTCTTTAGTTTCTGAAAAATCATATAATATAAAACAGACTAATAATTTTAATGTTTATAATGATTAATTATTTGGAAATAGAAAAAAATTATAAAAAATTTATATATTACTAACTGAAAAAAAAATTTTTTAAATTTGATATTTCGTTAGTAATTCGTTATTAATCGACTGATTGTGTTTTAATTTTTTTATTGTAAATTTTAATATAGTTCGATCTTTTTTTATTTTATATTTACGTGCAATTAAGAAAAATTAAATAAGTCAAATATAATCATAATTCGTTAAAAATGTTAAATACTTATATATTCAAGTTGATACCTAAAGGACAGGATTGGTTAATCGAATATCCTGCCCTGGTATCCTACTTTATAAGGTAAAATCTGATTGGTTCTCTTTGTGGTATAATTCGGACTCCGCCTTACTACCGCCAATTGCGTTGTGTGTTTTTACCATGATACCAAATACTTTATGTAGTAGAAGTATAGGAAGGTTGAAGCGTCCAATCTTTTTTCTCCTCTTCGTTGTTTTCTGTTTTCATTGAATGAGTATATATTTACATATTATACTTGATATATACACATGCTCATATCGCTACGTGTATATATATAATTTCATATATCATATTCAAATTTTGCATTTGTTTATCATTTCAAAATAAAACTATAGACATTCTATGTTTATAAATGCGTTAAATATAATTAACTTTAACATACAAATAAAAATATGATGTGTATGATATATTTGATAGTCTAAAAATGGTACAAATCATTTTATGTAAAAATGATTTATAGCTTGTGTTCATTTTATTTCTATATGTGAAAAATTATTTTATTTTATACTTTTTTAATTATCTGAAAAATTTATTTCTTAGAATATCTAATATTGAGGTATATCAAATACATTTTATTTATACAGTATCAAAGGAAAGGATATTCATACCCATGTGATAATCTGATCATTTTTTTTTTAATAAAAAAATTAAAAAGATTAAATCTATTATTAATTACAGTAGGAAACATACTGAAATATATATCTACATATAGCTATTTAAATATTAAACTTTTTATTTAGTAATTCAGTATTTTTTTTAAACCAGTATATAAGATTATTTAAATATGATTATTAGATAATTTAACTGTTTTATGAATTTCATATTTTGTATCTTAATTCTGCAATAATAATAGAAA